ATCAAATTCGAAAACAAACGACACAATAACATGATCACTTTTCTTCTAATTTTCAATTTTTTGGTAATTATCATTTCGTTCTCGTCATTTTTTTTCATTTTTTATCATTCTTCATACTTCAAGAGCACTCTTCTGAACATTCAAATCACATGATGAGTTTGAGAAGTCCATTAAAAAACTTGAAACCCACAAGTACTCATCAACTCCGCACATCGTGATTTGTCAAGATCATTTTAAAACGATTCCGTAGTCAATGTGACATAACTTTCGAGCACATAATTTCCTTCGATAACGGTGGAAAGAATGGTGACGTCGAAAGACGAGAGCAATCATCTTGAATTCACAGATGTTGTAAGTACTGATGAAGACCACACGACAGATGGACACAAGATCGCGTAATTGCAACGGCAGACAATTACTGAAGATGCGGTGTTACGCTTCGATGTGCGATAAGAGAAAAAAAGATTAGGAACATTTGATGAAATAACAGAGTCAGCTCTGAAAAAAAAAACTGTCACTTTAAACTGAATCATGGATTGATGCTACTTAATGCCGTTGTTGCCTATTTTTCATGTTTACAATCAGTATTTTTGGTACTCATAAATGAATCAATCTGAAGAAGAGAAGAAAATTGTCTTTTCAAGCTTCAAACTACTTTTCATTCAATTCACAATCTGCAGCCACATTTTGAGCAATAACCTATGTTCTCGGCATGTTCTATGAGAAAAAAGGCTATCAATAATCATTATGTTATTTTGAAAATTGTCAGCCATTTGTTGCGGGTGAACAATTTAAATGAGAGTACCAATGGATTCAACGAGGAAGCGAGTGGCCTTTAAAAAAAATTAGGTTTTGCAAGTGAAGATAATTTACTGATCGTTACAATTGCATAGGGAATGAAGTACATTTCTGTTTTTTCATCGCTGAAAACGAATCACTCAGATTAAAGCTTTTTTGAGACAGCGTTACTGCTCAACGTAAACCACGTATGAGAAGTAAAAAAAAAGAAATGCTTATCAAAAATATTACCATCCGACCTACTTACAGAAAAACTGCGAATGTGTTTTGTTGGTTGTCTATTGTGAACTTTTATGTATAACTAAGTTCGGTTTTTTCTTGACACGTGTATAAACGGGATTTTTTCGGGGGGGGGGGGGGGGGAGAGAGAGAAGGGATAAAAGAATTTTCGAATACCTATTTCTTCCTAGTAAATTAGCTGTAGCAAAACAATTACAAGAACTTTTTTGCATACGTTTGTCAGTAATAGTTCTCGTAAAGGTTGCGAGAGAGGGTGAATTCATTCTCCTATTGGTCTCCTCTTACACAATCCACTATGCGTTGACGATTTAACTTGATTGAGACAGCTCGGTAGTTACACGAGAATCAAACGGATAGTGAGATATTGCAGCGCTTTTTATTAAATTTAGCGTAAAATTCAATGTCGTGAAAGAACCAGCAAAAATGAAAGACACCGCATTCGAGGCTGCAAAATGTTTATTTTGCCTCTAAAAGATTGTTTTTTTCATCTTTCTGGAGGTTCTTTCGCTTGACAATTTTTCCACAATGGGCATCATGCTGCGCTTCGCAGAAAGAAACATTCTTCGAAATGTCACGCAAATGTGGACGAAAATACATTGTAAAATGTTACGTATTTAATATGACAGTTGCTTAAGAAACCCTTTAATATTTACTACAAATTCCTTCAGGTAGGTGAAAATTCTCAGCCGATGCATAGCCTGGGCGTAGCAAAAGTTGATTCAGTTGAACTGCTAGTAAGCCAAATTCAAAGTCTGCTCTCGATACTACAAAGATGGTTATTTTATCACTCTAGACCATTTCACAGTCTGTGAGCATTTCAGATTTTCCTCGTTATTACCATAGCCGAATCCTGCAAGAATTTTTCTAGAATGCGTACATGAACTTGAGAAAGATGTTCTCAATATAATACTCCTCGCTTATGTCGTCCAAGGAATTCACTTATTCAGTTAATTGAAATATACCGACGGATAAGTTATGACTGTAATAAATAATCTTTTTGCAATTTCAAGTTAGTTAAAACCTACTTGACGAAGAAATTTCACTGCCCTTTGCGGTAGGTAAAGACGTTTATGACGATGCCTTCAACTTGTTATTCAGTCTCTCTAGATATGGCTGACGAGAACTGAGAAACTAATTCTTTTTCAATCAGCTTTTTATCAAAGGCGAATTGATAGTATTTTGTTCGCCGATCAAAGCGTTTTGTTCTGTTTCAAAGTGAGAAGTAATTGATGTTATCTATGCTTCGAGAGAATTCGCTAATCTTGCAAACTTACCACATTGCTTTCACAGTGAAATTTTTAGATATGCCATAAGCGGTTTATGGTTGGCTACCTGAACGGCTTATAAATGAAAGCAATCAAAGATTAACAGCAAGAATAGAGAATCAGAAGTACAATACAATTTCAAGTTGGACTACACGGTCATCTTTCGATGCTTGAGGAGGAGAGTATGTATTCATTTGTCACTTCGTGCCGTCAGTTTGTGTGAGAATGCTATGGGGAAAACACTCAGTTGTACTTAATATGAAGATCATTTCAATTGAAATCGATTTTGTTCATAAGCTGAGCACTTTCTAAGAGGATCAGACTGTGACTCCACTGAAATAAGCCGTTCCATCTTCTGGGTATCACAGTGTTTAATTGCAGTGTGAACAGATCACCATCATCATTCGTCTTCATTTCGTCAAAGAAGTAACATTTTCCGCGATTGTCAATAGATAAGTCGGCTTGCAAGAATGTCGCCAATTGCAATTTTGATGAATAATTCCAGTTAGATTTGTTTACAATTCAACGACACTTACAAAGACAGCTTCCAGTTTCCTCATATTGCTAATTGTAAGATGAAGTGAAAAATGTTCGTAGCATTTTTCAAAAATGAAAAGATGGCTGTTTGCAATGCTCGGTGTTTTTAGCATGGTTGCACAGAGTCAGAATCATGTTTGGTCATTGTTCATTGATTTTCTGCATGGTATAAAACTGCTTGTTGCATGAAAGGAAATCAATGATAATTATTCGTTTAATTGCCTTCTTTGAAAGGGATTTTTTCATCGGAATTACCATACCGCCAAACCATCCTAAAAAGTCTCTTGTATCTTGTACGATACCAATAAACGTTTGAAAAAATCTCTGCATTCAATGACACTAATGTGTTTATTATGGGATTTTTTTTCGCAATCTGACTTTTTTATATGCAAGAAACTGGAGGAATAACCTTTGTTGTATTTTGAAACTCATTATACTAAAGTCAGCGAATTTACAATGTATCCTTCATTTGTTCACAAAATATCCTCATTTTTTTCGATGTTTGAAATGATGAAAATGGGGGAAGTACAAAAGAATTGAACTCGGCAGATTATGATTTCCATATCCAAAGCATAAAAAGTGTATAGCCGGAAAAGTAAAATTGCACACTAGCAGAATGAAAAAAGAAATAATGAAGCGCACTCGGAATGAAAGTGAATCAAATCGTCCGTTCTTTAATTGAATTAACGAGAGATAATGAACGTTTTTGTAGTGTGTAAAACATGCCGACTGACTGATCAATTATATTTGTTAATTGCGATCATAACAAGTTATCGCTCCCTTGAACATCTCAAATTTTGTGATTGATAGATCAGATGCGTGCCGGAAATGACCTGCTAGCTTGTTGTCGCTGAGCTTAAGGAGGAATGCACTAATATGTATGAGATATTGCTCGTAATTAATTCACAAAATTTTCTTCAATGCTGATTACGACGGATATTGAAAAGATAGGGGGAAGTCTTGATTTTGCAATTGTTCCAGTCGACAAAATCTTTTAAAATAATACGATCGCTCATTGATCTTCATTTCAAATCCTCTTATCTTTCCATTCAACGAATGTCAAAAGTTCAGTCCACAAAGTGAAGTGCTACTCCTTGCCGGTTATAGTGATCATGGCAGTTTTTTCACGATCGTCCAATCAGATGTTTTAGTTATGCTGCTAGCTTGCAAGCAGCAGTGTCACATTTACGTGCAATGCACAATTCTCATTCTCATTACTGCACTTGGTGATGACGTGATTCTTACGGTTTCACAAACATTTTTCCTGTTTCGTTAAAATTTTCACAATCATTATTGACTTGTATGTTCAGTTGACATCATAGCATTCGGCGTTCACTCATTTTGAAATCTCTTCCAGGAATGAACGCTAATGTTTTCCCAAGAGTTATCACATGAACGGTCAGTGCTAGTAATCAACGAGACCTGAACACTATAAATCATTGATTTTCCTCAGTCCAATTCACAGTAGCATTTATAGATATAGTTCTTATGGATCAGTTTGTTGCTTCGTTCTCGATAGGTGCATCGGTATGACTATTGTGCTTCGAATTCTCCGCGAGCGATACAGTCGCTCAAAAAACTGTAATATCGGAAGTCGGTGGTGACAGCAATACAAAGATGGTGACAGAAAAAATGATGAAATTTGAATGATTGAAACTAAGTGCAATGCCCTTGTGCGGCAGTGCTCATTAAAAGATTATTGCTGATTAGAATATTCGAAAAAGCCCCAAAATTGTTGAGTAGCAATGTGTGACAAGTTGACAAGAACAGAGTAAGTTCTCTTCATTCAGATATCATTCCTGTTCGCACCGCCCCGTTCTCGTCTGAGTGATCATTTCTCCAACAGTATAAATATCTCGGACGTCTACTACAGACATTCACTTCACAACGTGTTAATCGGGTTGTAGTCGTTCAGTGACATCTTTAAAACGAACAAACATTTTGTGCTTGTATGCATTCATTTCACTGGAGTCATATGGAAAATCTGTATTAATTCATCAGATATCCTTCAAAGCGACATCAATCTATCTTTTATACGTGCAAAGTTTTATCCTATTCGTTGATCTAGTCAACTGTAGCTGTACTATAAACTGATTTCGCAATTCGAGGACTCAAGATTAATCTGCTTCAATAATGACGACATTATTTTTATTGTTCTCGATGGGAGTGCTATTTACTGCCTCGCATTGCCTCAATTCTAACCAACAAAGTAGGAGAAGGTGCTGGTCATCTGGTAACGGCAAAGCAGCTCAGTGGTGGGCGGAAGGTGAAAGAATTGATCGAGGTAATCTATTGATCTCTAAAAATCTTCAATTTTGCTTTGAAAAAGCAAAGATTCATTTGATACTTTGTCTTCAGTGATAATACGCATCTCATGATAATTCGGACTCGTTCCATTTTGTGGAAGTAATCGGTGCAGTGATGACGGACTTATTTATATTGCTGAGCTGACTTTTGCTCGTTGAGATCAATACCACTGCGCAATCGCTTATAAATTGGACTCAAACGGCTTGAATAGATTAAAATATTTCAAATTCCGCGGTTCACCTCTCTTGACTTTGGGAGATTGTTTTGAGCTAGCAACGGTTTGGCAAACGAATAATCAACTATCTTTAACGCTGTTCACTGGATACGATGCGCGTTCACGCTCTATCTTGGTCTGTTCAATATTTGACTTGACACTGGATCATGCTTTGACATCACGAGATTTCGTAAGAACATGAAGAAAAGTTGCTCAAATAACGCTTTCAAATACAACATCGAACCCATGACCAGTTTCGATAAATTAATTAATAAGCCTCGTCTTCTCTCAAACAAGTATTCCCGTTCTATCATCTTTAGATGCAATCTTTTTTCAGGCTGAAAATGCTTGCAAAGAATATAAGTGTACTTTTGTTTCCTCGCTATACAAACACATGCACCACTTTCTCACTCTACGCTTCCCTATCCTTCTCCCAGTGGTTACGCATGCTCCCACTATGGCTCTTTAGTGCTAAGGAACATGGTTCACAACATTTCGTTATTTACTAAATGAGGAGAATCGAGAGGTCGCAGGACTATCTGAATGTCTCAGTTGTGCTCGGCAAGAACCATATACTGACTTTCTTCTATCAACAGCAACACAGGGTTCATGTTCCTAAATCTACAGCAACGTTGGTCTCGCAAAGTTGACGATAACTCAGAAAAAATCATCCGATTTCATGAAATTCACCCCGACCCTTGATTAAGCTGATGTTGGGGTATGACGGGCACTCTTTATGAGCCCCCGTACAGTTTCGCTTGTTCATTTCTACTAACGGAGGCTTGAAAGAAGCCTGAAAAATTACACTTGGACCGATCGAAAGCATAAAAATTCAACAGCATTCTTGAGTTACCATTCCAAGCAGCCGAATGAGCGGTGCACTATGATTTTCCTGAATCAGTCATCTGACAACAACGAACAGTAACTTCACTAACTGTAATTGAGTGAGTCCATATGGATCGGCAGTTCAAGCGTACCGCAGCCAACAAACGAAGAAGTCCCATCTCTAGAAAACTTTGCCAATCGCCAAAATTAGTGGTTCTTGAGCTGTTTCGGCGAATTATCCATCTAAGCTCAGATCGCGGCTAAATTGATTTATTCTACTCCCAAATGTAGCAGCATTCAATAGCCTCTTTCAAAATAGCGAAAATAAGATTACGATAACTTCAGGAGTTCATTTTGTTCCGCCAAAATTCCCTCCTCTGCATATCTTTTTCACCCAATAGTGAGCAGTCTTTATTGCCTACGTTGAGAACGCTGCTTCAGAGCGATTGACGAAGCAGCCCATGGTATTCAAGTTATAATGAAGCATTGGTAAAAAGTGAGTGCAAAATAATCTTTGTTTATCGTTGTAGCGATCGTCTATAGTGCCAAACATTAAAGTCAGTGTATGCGTGCCTCTTTGTAAATGGAGATAATTGTTGGAACTGACGAAGGGTTTACAACAGAAAACAATTCGTCCATGAGAACCTACGGAAGTGTGATACGATAAGATAAGAGCAATTATCACAAACATCATCATTTCTTTGTTCAGCACCGTGAATGGTCACCGTCAGTGAATCAGTTAGAGTGAAAAATTGCTTGAATGGACACAGTCTATCTATCATGATTATCAAAGGCCGCTCAGAGTAAGCGCACGCATCAAGAAATGATCACCGAAAATGCCTTGAGTTGATTTTAGAAGAAGAGTTTTTTGTTCATTGGTTCCATACTGACATGTCAGAAAATTTGTTGTCATCATGTAGCAGTTGGCCGACCTGGTATAAAACATTTGTTCGCCTCTTGTTAGCATCGTTCACTGTTTTTGGCCAATACTTTTGCAACCACTACGTTCCAAATTATCAGCTCCACTGCAGTCGTTTAGCCAAGCAGAACCGATCAAGATCGTTGAATGAAAAAAACTTATCTCATTGGTATGTGATTGCTAGCTTACAAAGCTTGGATAATAAAGTTGCATGCAAAAACTCAATGGGATACTGAAAGTTTTGATTAGAAACTCAAACCTCGAGGATTCCACCGTTCAAAATGGAAGGTTAAAAAGTTTCGCCTTAATTCCGAGTTCACAACTGATTCATTTGCCAGTAAATGAAAAACAGGCAGCAAGCATTTCACATTTTGATGCTCTCCTAATGATCAAAACAATCTTTCATAGTGTCAAAGTAGCCTTTCGTTGTTGTGATAATAGTTTATTTCATCTTCCATCAACCAGACCAGAAACCACACTCACTGAATTATATTCATCACAAATGACCTTGTGGTCTTTTCAAAACGCTCATCTTCCTCTGTATTTTTTGAGAAATTTCCTCAATTTTTTGATGATTTCTATGTCAGTTGGTTGCATCCATTGTCCACTGGCCCCATCTAATTGATCAAAAGGATGCTTTGATCGCGAATTGATTTTAATGCCATTCTTTTCGCACCAAAATTGTTCCACCGTTACTGCCGCGATATGCCTGCTCATAGGTACGATTGGTACATTCGCACGAGACTCTTTCCAAGTAATTTCCTTCAGTAATTTCATTCCTAAGAAAAAATATATCTTGATTAAACTTCGCTGTTTCTCAGAAATGCATTGGTCTCCTGGTGGATTCTCAAGATCAAAATTTTCGGCTTTTGAGATGAAATCGGTGAGCAACATTTTTGGATAGATCACTGAAGTTAAAAATGCTTATCAGAGGACGCGGAATCCATCGCATATGAACATGAATAGTTTGTTTTAGCCGTGACAGAAATATGTTCTAGTTCACTTCAGATTTTGCTGAACTGGATCATCAGTTCATTACAGTCAATTGATTCTATTCTCTAAAACCATTCTTCCAAGCACATGAAATTTAGTATTACGTCCACTCCAATAATGCAGCAGCCAATTGTTATTCAGGTCGATATTGGTATGTATGCTCGAATGGTGAGCTGAAACCTCGCGGATGCTTCACTCTAGATGATAAGCGCATCGGTGTTGGCGACACATTTGTACACAATGAATACGAAATGCAGTGTGTTCTTGGAGAGGACGGCTATCTTAAATTCAAATTTACTGCTTGCATAGCTGACAAAAGCAACAGACGTTATGTGGTTGGCGAATCTTGGGAGGATGATCAGGTATTTTTTTGGAAAACTAAATCCCATATAGTCATCAATTCAAAGCTGTTTCCCGATAGAGCGCTATCATATGAGTATTTCGTGACAGTTTCTTCAAGCTTAGAAAGCAGAATAACATGTTATTCAAATGAACAAGCGAAACATTCAAATGAAACATTCTCAACGTACCACCGAAATCATTAAAATACTTTCCACGATTGTCTTGAAATACACACGTATACAAGGCCATATCTAGTTCGAATGACGGAAGAATTGATTTTCGAGCTGAGCGTACGTTATAAGATCATAATCGCAAATAGCTTGTCAATTCAAAATTGAGCAGTTTCGGATCAACCTATAAGTAAGTATTTTTCGGTGTACGCGAGCAACCGTGTGCTCATTCAAAAACCGGATGTTTCACCATTGTGCGCATTGAAAACCTGTTGATTTCGTTAAGTACGACACTGTTGTAAAGTCATTGAAAACCACATAGGGAAACGTTGTATAACAACCTGATTTTGGAAGAAATTCTGTGGATTTTTGTTATCATCGTATGAATCGCCTAATGAAAATGAGTTCCCACGGATACGGTTTGTTAACAGGATCAATCGCATCTTTCGAAGATTTGTTTTGACGCTTGCCATGAGACATGCCATTCCGAGTTTGTGAAAAATATGGCATACATCTCACACACAAAGTCACCCAGCAATTAATCCTGTGTCGCTCATTTTGTTGCCTCAAGCGAACAAAACTTCTACGAATTGTGCTGTGTATTAGTTCCTAATGCTGGACAAGATTGTGTCAACGCGTCACAGAAGGCAATTAGACTTATCACAACATAGCGAAACATCACAGTTCATATTCAGCACGTCACAGTCGTACGAATCTTCCAAAATCATCTATCAGTCTTTTTCAACTCACTCCTCAATGACATGAAGATATTTATAATTATTGCGTGGTAATTGCAGCATATGTATTGGTTCGTTTGTAAGCAAGATGGTCCATACTTGAGGGTGGATATTGGTGGATGCATTTCACACGACAAAAAAACACGCATTCATCTTGATGAGAATTACGACTTCGGTGAATACACGTAAGTCCATTCTAAATGAAATGTTAACAAAGATTACTAGGTAACTCTTCTTTAATTTATGCCTTCAGATTTTCACAACAATCATCGTTCGAATTTGATGTTTGCTCGAGTGATCTTATTCCGCTGTCTAAATATGAAAACGTTTCGGTATCTCTATAAAAAAGGAAGACATTGTTGTTGTCACTAACCATCCATGTGAATTGCAGATATCAATGTCAGAAGAAGTATAATGGCACCGTGCAAATGTGTTCAGTTGGATGTATTCACGATGGTGTGCATTACAAAGTTGGACAGCAGTGGCCTGTAAGCATTATAACATCGTTTCTTTTTCATGCAACATAGCATCACAATGCAACCTTCACTGTTAGTTCAAACAAATTTTAGTCGTAGTGATACTCTTTAGAAGCAATTGCTCAGTGTACTATATTCTTATTTAACGCACATCAGTTCCATTGAAGTGGATCTTTTCTCTTCTAATTGCTCAGATCCATTCTACAGAGTGGTTGCACTATGGAGACTTGTTTAAATTCTGAGATTATTGCTATTTAAGTCCAAAATTTCTGGTGACAAGCGCATTTGGAACAGTGGGATATATGTATTGATCTTTGTCTCCATTGATTCGTTTTGAGATCAACATCTGATTTTGTTCAGTGGCAGCACTATGATGATCGCAGATGATTAGTCTCCTATTAATCCGTTTTTTATTGAGATTCTCAAACTCATGTCATTATGCAACGAGAATCACCACAATAATTAGCCAATGAAAAAGATGAAATTAGCTACTCAACATAACATTGATAGCCGTCAGTTCCACTCAAACAGCAATAAACAACGAAGTTAATTCTACGCGGAATTCTCTCTAATATTCAGTCCCTTCCACGTACATCAAAAAACTCTTCTATCCTCGTGGAATTCAACCACTTTTGTATAATCAAATGAATCATCTGTCCATTTCTCATTAGTTATCCATTCTCACAACTCCATATTTTTTCGTTTATTATATAGAGCAATCACCAGTTGAAAGCAGTTTCGTTATTAAATCCAAAATTTTAAAAGGGTCATTTTAAAACGTAAATTAACAGGTTCTCCATTACGATTCATCAATCTCGACGATTGTCAATGCATAATCAAGTTGCTAAATAATGCCGAAAAATAAAAAGCTTGTAGATTCCATTGAGAATTGTCTCAGAGAGGATAATTTATGGCCCAATAAAAGGATTTGATCCGAAACGAACTAATTCCATTTTTAATGAAGAATAACTGCAATAGTTTCACTGGTTTTTCATTATCCATAAAATTCAACAGTGAAGTGCGTGATGTTGCTATTGTGTACAGTGACTGACCAGCGTTAACACCCGTGATATATCTAATGTAAGACAGCTATCCTCACTTAAGGGGGATTGATCAGAATTATCGAATGACTAGTCCACTGAAATGAACATCATCATAATTCAGAGGTTGCAATTTCACGAACTCCATTTGGAATGATGGTGCTCATATTGATGCTCTTGGAATTAAAATCAATCTTCTTGGAAAGAATTTAACGTTTCAGTTTAATATTGCATGTGCGCAGTCCTATCCAAATGATAAGCTCTGAAAATTCGATCAACAATCGGTACTAGAGAATTCCGTCCGTGGATGCTACCTAATGTGCTAATGTAGCTTAATGCAATCGACCATCATCGTTTAAAGTGCTCATGTTTCTAAATAAATAATGCACATCTATTTAATTTGCCAAAAACAGGAGTCAATTCTTGTCACATCGACACTGGCGAGATACCAATCATAAATGTAGACAGGTTTTCGAAGGTGCAATCGCAAACAGAATATATTTTCATCCTGCGGTGATATGACCATACTTACTTACGTAGACTGGAAAGTTTTGCCATGATTCAGTGACACTGACGGCCCTATGTAACTTATGGATGAGTAGTGCCAAGATTACCTCTTGCATGGAGAAAAAAGAATGAAGTCGTTGAAATGCGAGTAACCGTTTTCAATTGTTTTATTATAACAGTTCCAGTTTATCCCTAGAAACATCGAAATACGTGTAGCATTGCACAAAATGCATGCAGATGATTGTTACTCTAGTTGAGCGACTGCAAAGTAATTGCATAAAAACAGCTCCAGTGTACAAGGGCTGGAACGGTGCCGTAGAAACGGTAAACAACATATGAATTGTTGAAAATCTTGAAAAAATTGATTGATCGAATTTTGTGCACAGCAGGGCACTAGATGTACTGCAGTCATTTATAACTATTTTCTACACTTCTCAATGAGCATACTATTTGAAAATGATTGAGGTGGTGATTTTTTGACTTATTCGTTTTTTTCGAATTTCGTAACTGCACTCTACAGCGAAATCACTGTAAAGTATCACGTTATTTTCACTTATCAGTGAATTAAGTATTTAGTAAAACATTTATGACTTTGTTGTTTTAGATGGATCTTGCCTGTTGAATAATCACAATGAATATTTTGAAAGCATTCTTCAAAGAGCATTCTTTGTTTTTTATGATAGATCTTTCATAGAGGATTTCCTTCAGTTTTACACATGCGTTAGGAGGATCTCATTACTATTTTTTCCTCGATTATTCTGCTGATGGAAGTGAAAACTGACATTCTGTAGCTAGTCTGACCCACTCAATCAGATTGATGGTATCAAACTCTCAGACTTTGGAATCTATTAACTTTTTTACTAATCGATGTGGTAGGTAGAAGAAATCTTCGTGTATATCCACTGATGAGCACATTCGCTCGCGGAATAAAATACTCAAAACGTACCAACTGGTTGACTAGGTGCAATTTGAATACCGTCGTACAAACTTTCTAGGTTCACCGATCTAGATTTGAACTGGCCATTCTTCTATTTTAAGGATGGTGATTACGTTTATTATTGCAAACTCAATGGAGGTCGGTGCCAAAAGATATGCGTCGGATGTCAGTTCAAGGATAAGCGGCTTTACGACGGAGATCGCTACCGCAAAGACAACACAGTATTTCAATGTGAAGTGCGACCGGACAAGTTCGGCCACAAGCCAGTTGCATGTGTTGTACATGATGAAAATGGTGATACCGTTGAAAGGATCGTCGGATGTCGATGGTATGTATTGCCACCGATCAAAAATGAAAACTCATACATTCAGCGATCTGTATTACTAATGTACTGCAGTTTATGATAGGCAAGCGCTACAGTTCGCAAGTGATAAATATGCGCATCGAATACCTCTTCTTATGCTATACTAGCAAGCAAAGAAAATATCAAGCGAGGTGAAATGAGAGCATTGCAGAACGACACGATGGATATGCATCATGAATCTTCAACAATTATTCAATCATAAAGCGATATCATTAAGCCTTTGTTGAGACGCCGTTCTATCGAGACAATTCTTACGTAATAGATCTAGATGCTGATAAGTTCTCCGCTCCTGGATTATTCATTCGTCTAGATATCAAATGAATTAAACAAACGTTTCATATGCAGGTATCAAACGACAAAACGGGCCAAAGTGGAACAAACGTGTGTTCTTGAGAACAACCGAGCCGTTGTGAAAACCGTCGGATGCGTGTTCGTTTACAAGGGATATGATACACTCTTTCTTTACCCAGGCACATACACAATATGGAATCAACAAGTGGACGGAACTGCAATTGGAGTGGCATGCAAGGTGATTAGCAAATGAAATTACGTGATGACCACCGTTGTGAACAACCACTGCTTTCTTGATGTTTCAGCGTTGATGCAAACATTTCACATTCAAAAGAACTGTTTTTAGGACAATGCGCACAACGGTGAAGCAAGCTTGGAGACATTTAAAACCGAAGAACTCGCATACAAAACTGCTGGGCTTCGATATGATCAACCACGGGGCTAATGAACTTTGTCAACTTATCGGTCTTTACCGCTGTTCAATTTGTACATTATATTTGCAATTTTCTCTCGTGCTCTTTGATATGATATATTATGATGGATTTCTCAATGCACAAATAATCCTCAATGAGGAGAACTAAACCCACGGTATTTTATGTGCGCCTTTCACACGCCGCTGTGAAGCACTTGTGAAATTTGATGTGCGAATTCCTTTCTGCGCAAATCCCAAAGAGATTCTCCCACCACCACGAAACAATGCTGATCCTATCGTTGAATCCACCAATATGTTTGTTGTTTTTCTACACTTGTTACATGAACGAATAGGATCAAGTACATTACAATTTAGACATCAAACCCGTTCAGTGATCAATGTTTAAAGGAATGCTTGTTCAATATCCACCGCCGATTTGTATTAACAAATGGTTGTATAACAAGCTGAATCGTTCTCGTTGAGATAGATATTGGTATCTTGTGCATTGCATACCAAAAAAAAATATCTGTTTACCTATAAACAAAAATAAAATGATCGACAGCTGTACTTAACGATGTTCTGTGTATCTCATTTCCTTTTCATTCACTTATTTTGATGTCTTCATCTCTTGAATGTTCTCATCTGTGGCCTTAAGGCATTGTTCTAATTTCAACATCGCTGATTTTCATTCCATGCAGCCATCGGTTATTTGGCAGCTGTAGTCACCTATTTTGATCAACCTCAAGTGCATCAATGCATTTATTTTGGACGCTTCATTTTGTGAGCTCATTTGTAATCGTGCATAGAAATTATGAGATACGCATAATTTATATTCAGTGATTCGTTGTGTGCACCTAAAACACAACTCGTTTGCGCGATGTCGATTTCATGAACTGAATGTAATAAACTTTATTTTACCATCATTCAATTTTAACAGATCATTGTAGAACAAAGAAACTTTGTTACTGATATCGTCATCTAACAATAGGCATCGTCTCGAGTTCCTGTCTCATTAAGAAGTTGAAGTGCACTAAAAGTGAGTTATCGCTAAATTGCAATGGTTACCGCCAATCCTTGTGAGTGGTCGTCTGAGGCAAGATCGCGTCTTCTGGATCGTTTGGTGCAATAGGGAGAAGAACTGAATTCATGGAAGCTCCTTGCGAGCATCGCACAAAGTAAACTGCTTTCGGTTTAAAAAAGAGCGAGGTTCACAAACCTCGGAACTACTGGATTGATAAGACTGAATGTAAAGCGTCAGTGAAAAACTTTAGCTCATCAATCAATTTCGCATCATTGTTGATAAATGAACGTATCAGCTAAGCAGTTTCATCGAATGTTTGATTAGGAAAACTTTTGTTGATTGCTAACGACAATAATTACTAAAAAAAAAACCGATATACTTGATGCTGTTTGATGGAGAATCTCTGTGCCTTTCTGAGCAATAGAAAGTGCGGAAGAGAGCGAAAAAGTTCGCGGATAAATATTTGGGTTGCGATGTTGCGGTTTTACTGATTGTGAGTGTTTTAATCAGACATCAGCTGTTCAGTTTCGGAACGTCGCCTTCTAGTGGCGTCTCGTAGATTTTCTATTTCAATCCTCTTCTTATACATGTTGAGCATGGCACATAATTGTAAGTGGAAAAAAACCATGTGTGATACTGATGGTAACTGATCGAAGACCGGCCGCTAAAATCTGATGGGTTTTAGTCGGAATTTCGAGATTCGGATTCCGGCGGAAGAATTTTAAAATTAGGTCAGAATGCGTAATTTTGAAATGTTAAAGAAACGATTCGGTCGAATGTCATCACTAATACGTAATAGGTGTTCAGTAGATGAGCCTAACCGTTCAAAGTATCCACAGCATTGGGAACTGTATACGCTTGACAAAGTGATCAGTTACCGCAAACGAATGCTGAGTGTCATCAACTTATCCACTTATAGCTGTTCGCTTTTATGATAGTGGAATATTTAGTAGGCAGTGAATTCCCGAAAATGATATAGAAAAAGAACGCTTTTATGATTTTACGCTAATGAAAAGCAAGTGAGCATCTGACGCCATGACAATTGAAGCTGTTTTCAGCGATGAGGTTGGACGTACGTGCGAAATTTTATTTCATTAAAGCGAACGAAGATTGAATTTATTTCTGATTAGTTCAGTTTGAAAATGCACACTCGATGTGATCTCGAAACCTTCATGAACCATCGACTTTTTATTTTGGATGCACTTTAAAACGACTTGTAGGGCTATAATGCTCGCGCAATGATATCGCTATTTAGCTTTTTGTCGTTCAAAATAATGCAGTGAATTTTGATGGACCGACCACACGCTTTCAAGAGCAGCTCCGTCTCGCAAAACAAAAGAAGTATGAGAATGGGTGAGTACGTGTTCTCTGAGATAAAAACCTCGTTCGACATCTCTAGAGTGATTCTTGAGAACAGTGCCGAAGCTTCGAAGCCAAACAAACTTTCTTGCCTGCCTCAAAAAAAAATCATTCTGTAGTCTGAGCGGAGACCTGCATGAAGATTTTTTTCCGCATGCGCAATGTTCTGGAGCCAGGGCAGAGAGAAACAAAATTTGGGGCTGGAGCTGGAATCGAAGATTGAGGTGGAGTAGATTTAAGATTTGAAATTTGATAGAACTTTTATTGAAATAGATCACATTTCACTTGGACTGTTTATGATGTATAAGAGTGATGATACAAGCATTGTTCATGGATGTTGGAGGCAAAACTGCGAGATGTCAGAAGTGAAAAAATTATTTGCGTTTGTAGAACACCATTTCATCATTAGATATGACTGAAATTGGGAATGGAGGAATCTATCTGCATTTCTCCGTGGAATTCGAAGCATTACCCTGTATTTTTTTAGGATTCCCGTTCAGGACAGCTCCAATTCATATAATTAGTAGTAACAATCCTTGGGAATGCGGTTATTCGAATGATTGCTGTTATTGTGTTTCTATTATCATATTGCTGCGCTAAACTATTAAAAAGTTGTTGTATTAATTAATTCATTAAATTTTTGAATTATCAAATTATGAATTTTGAATTATCAAATTAAATCACACAATTGAATTATCAAATTATGCTATTTAACTGGATTCTTGGCGAATCATCGTATTAATCAATCAAATTATTATTTATTAGTAATATTTTGGAGCCATCGTCCGACAATGTTTCAGTGTTGTTGTTTTTTACTGAAATGAAAATATTCCTTTCCCCTCTTGTTTGATCTCAGTATACTTGTTTTTACTAGATACATTCCTCATAATCACGTCGACTGAGAAGATGAATGAGTATTGGAGCTGAAGTTGGGACCATAGCCGAAACTCGAAACAGATGAACTGGAGCCAGTTTTAGATCCGGAACTAGATTCAGAGCCGAAGACAATGCGTTTAAAAACGCAGAGCTGGAACCGAGCTGTAGTTTAAGTTCCACTATTGCGAGGCTCGCTACGGAGCTCAGTCAATTTTTTGAAATTTTGGCATCAGTGGTTGTGAGTCAAGCAAAATTCTGTGAATGTGTTGTACGACAACATATTTTCGCTTCGCAATCTGCATAGGTTCGTGTAAACGGTACCCTGGGTTGAAATTATCTTCAGAGCAATCCTCTTTCTATGTCACAATGTTTTCGGCAAAGTTGCTTCACTTTGTCATATTTTACGTCAAGCTACACCGTGATGTGGCTGTCATATCTCCCTAACGAAAATACTTTAGCCGGTCTTGGACTATGAGGAAGGATGCTTTGAAGAACTGTAAACGACAATTACAACTATGTTTTTCAGTATTACTCAGTTCAACGGAGAGCAAAGTTATATGTTTGGCTTTGGTCTCTTAAGAAAGGACATTATTTAAATCATGCGCGTTCATTCTCGGCTTGTTCGAATGGATTGTTTCAAACAGTTCAAACCGACATCAAAATGCCAAAAGAGAGCTTATGATTGCATGAAAAGAAATGCTAGAGCCTAGGTCGTATATAAACAAATATAACGTCAAACTTGACACAATAGGTGTTTATAACTCGTCCCTTCATGAATTTTAGTAACTTGAAAGCATAACAGTTTTCAGCGTTTCTCTAACTTGTTTGCATCTCATCTTGCATCTCCAAACCAGATGAATTGTGCTCCACATTCAACTTGCATTACGATATGCAAACTGTAATGTGCCATTGAGGGAGTAAGCAGTTGGATGATGACGAAACGGTCATTTTTAAATAACCGTGACTACACCTACCCCCGCACTCATACAGCGAAACGAAGCTTAATTAGTTGCAATTTTTTTCGAACGGAAGTTGTGAGTAAATATTGCATTGTAGCACAGCCGACTCGTGATAGCAACTGTGCGCTCTCAATGTTAAACATATAAATGTTTGTGTTCGAAACGTGTTCTTATCGAAGCCTGTTAACAATGAACGATCCTGTAACCAAGGAAACTTTTCCGAAAAATTCGTATTTGTTCAATCAATATGATGATATTTATCATGATACACTTTCCGTTCAATCACGCGACGTATTTTTCGTATCAGTTTGCTATATCAAATCAGTTGTGAGATTTTTTTATAACAACAAAGAAGAATGATAATTTCACATCACTGATTCAGTCTTGTTGACTCTTGATTGAGATTCGTTGCAGTCATAAGTTCAGTGATATCCTCACGTGTTTGGCCGCTCAGTGTTTTCAGTTATAATCGGTGGTTCGATTTATCTGTTCGAATGCTGTGGATGAAATAATAGTAACTACAAGCATCAAGGTCTCCAGTTTCCATCTATCGTGTATATAACATGTTCAATTAATGAAACAAACATTCATTATTCTTTTACTTTTTGTGGACAACGAAAAGGAGTGATTGGTTATTTGTTATCGTGAAGTTGTTTCGAATTGTGGTTCTAGAGGACAACCGAATGGCTCAGGTGGTTGGATCTCCTCTCGCGTACTCATTAATCGCACAGAGTACTCGATGCTACTTTGAGTTTTTTCTCTGATTAAGCATAACGGTTCAATTAATACCAAGCGATCTTCATTTTGAATTCGCAATAAGTTCAGCGATCGTTGAATAATGACATCTATCAGTAGGTACACTCATGTATTTATTGAAAAGATAAAGAACTCATTTACTGTGCCATTCAATCGTTTTAGATAACGAATTAAGATGTTGAGTCCTGCTATGCTCAAAAATTCGTTGTCTCGCCGAACGTCGCTACGAGAGAAATCAGCAGTCACTCGTTCGCGCCGAAACACTCCCACTCCTGTGATGTTCGCTGAAGATGATTTTGATCCTTCTTGCTTCCAGCTCGTGAGTCCTCTTTCATGTTTCTTTCGCTGCTTTTCCATGGTGACTCAAACGCACATCAGGGAACATTCTCAGCGTTTTTTGAACTTTTTCTGTTTCTGCTAATGCTTTAAGTGCTCTTCATAGTAGAATTGTTAGCGTGTCATGGCCCGTATCGCTTTACTGCTATGCGCAGATCCGTAGAAGGCTATTGCCCAATCTATTTTTGGCTGATCACAGCTGAATAATGCATTTATTCATATGCACAGATTCTTCGCAATAATTCATCAAAAAATCCGCCAGCTTACAAGTAAAACGGTTTCAAGCAATGATGTAGAAGGGTGAGTATGGAGGGCAAAATCATAGGTGAAAAGTGTAAAGTGGTGATTATTGGAGTGATCAGTGTGAAGTGGTGATCGATCACTGGAGTGATCAGTGTAAAGTGATGATCATTGGAGTGATCATGCTCGCAAAGAAATTCAGTTATAGATTAATATGGATGGCACCATTACATTCGTTTCAAGAGTTACTTTCACTGCACGAATCCTTTTCTATCCATTGTCCTCTAGGTTCTCCTTTTTGAGGTATATGAATTCCTACCATATTCCAATTCTCAACACCTTTGTAAAGATAGAAACATGAAAAAGGCGTTAATCTCGTATGTGAAGTGGCATTGCAATGTACATTCAACGTGTGATTGCTGAAGTAAGATTTCGTAACACGCAGAATCAATTTGTTGCAGTGAAAGTGCTATGGTGAGCACAGTTTGAGGCATCAACAAATTCCAATCATGAAAAGTGGATGAAAATGTATCTTATCGCCCTCATATTTCGTATTGACTGAGATCCTGAAGGAAATTTTTGAATTTACGCATAATTTGTTCCAAATTTGTGATATGAGAAATTTGCGGTTCTCACAGATTTTCTTTCAATAAACATGAAGTTATTCAGGTTTGCTGCTACCGTACCGTCTTGAAACTGATCCATTGAATATTATTTTCAATTTGTGTAGTTGAATGGGAGCGTAGTAAAGATTTATTCAGGCGGAAAACGTTTAAACGATTCCTTAAATTCACTTGAATAACTATCCATTATGAGCATCAAACAAAATTCATTTGAGAAAAGCGTTGAGTCATACGGCAAGCTTCTCAGACTCCTGTGCTCTTCAAATTCCCAACCGATCTATTTTTAAAACACTCTAACAGCTCTTACGGAGTGAGCAAAATTGAGTCAATCGTATGAAAACGTTATAAGCGCAATTTCCAAAAAAAAATTAGAACATCGTTGCAATGCGAATCCCTTTTTTTGTTCTTTAATATCGAGTTGCACCAGCGATGTCAGTTTTAAACCAATGATGCTGTAGTCATCTGCAGTGTAAAGTAATCGGAAGTTTCTAGTCATGGTGCCGAGTTGATGAAAAAAAAACTAGTGACGCCATCCTGATCGTGAAAACGTTTCAAGTCGACAATATTTCTTATTTTACAGCCCATAACAATTGCGGTCATTTTCTGAGAGAACTACACATCCACATTAACTAGAAAGTGAAAGCATTTCACCTAACACCCGCAGGTTGACAACTTTTCAAGCAAGGACTTAAACATTTTTCGATCATCCTGTTTTGCGAAGTGAGCATATTTCGTTCACAGTTTGAATGCTGCAATTGCACATCTTACGAATAAAGCAGTTCGTTCGCCACAGTTTTTCAGGGGATACCAGTGGAACGTAAAGGCGCAGGTTCACGTCGCAGTTCGGCCGATCCAAGTACGGAATTGCCAAAACTTTGTGAATCGTCCAGATTCGAGATTGACTTGCTGATAACCGAGGGTGATGAAATCATCGTTCTACCACATCGTTCGTTGCTCGTTGCTCATTTTCTATTCCAGCTCGTTTTATCCATAGAGTTCTTATGACTGCACCAATAGGATAATACTGGACAAAAGCAGTGTCTTGTTATTCTAAAGAAAGCATTCACAAATGAAATTCAGTGATCACTTAACAGTCAACATTGAAGAAAGAAACTCGTTACAGCTGAGCTTACTATTCAGTTATGGTGTTCTTGACTTCAGTATTCATAGTTCAGCATGTCTCTCGCAGGCGTTCTTATTGATGTTCCATATCTAATTGTTCAACAGCATTCTGTTCAAAACGTTATGAAATGGAGAATACTTTAAAGTGTTTGATTGCCTGAAGTATGTGTTGCTTCAGTACATTCATGTATTGTTAAGCTGTGGGTAAAAACCAGTGTAAATCAGCAAACAAGTGAGGAAATTACCAGCAATATGAAAGGGAGTGGAAGCGAATTCAGTCATTTTTGGTGAATCAACATTCTCGTCAAGACATGTTGATAGACCGTCAAAAAACTACGTACCGTTCACCATCGGAACGTGTAAAATCATCATTGAAACTGATTTCGTTCATTCCTCTTTCTAATCATTTCAAAAATTTAGATCGTTGTTGATGAATATAATTGTTCTGTTTAATTCGGGCATTTCTTATCAAAACAAGACACTTCAAACAGCGCAGTGCACGTGAGTTATATTACTACGTCAGCATCAACCGAACAAATCTTCCATCTTAATCAATTAACTGCTAAACAATCCATCTCAATCTACCCAACATTTTTCACTTGTCAATCATTTTTCATATCATTCAAACTAAGAACATAAACGTGCACTGAGTTGAGAACATCATCGTCGACTTTAGTCTGTAGTCAACTTTGTGGGTCTGTTTACCGCAGCCCACATCTCAATATTCATAAGAATTTATCAGTTTAGTCGACATCACTGACGAAGATGATTCTAACCAGTAATATACCAGTAATTCTAACCAGAATAATATCAGTATGCAAATATTTTAAAAAATGGTGCTGAAGATTCATGTTTAAAATTAAAATAGATGTTTCAAAAAATTTTTTGGACTAAAGGGTATCGCATCAAGAACACGTTTACCGACTATTTTCTTTATCTTTCAGATATGGTTGTTGATCTTGAATGTGATTATTTCCGAAGTTCCGTGCATTTTGGCAGTAACTTTTCTTCATTAAGCTGATTTATTTGTCAACCTGTAAGCACGGTTTCAGTTGACCATGTAATCATGACTGAAACTACTTAACGTTTCGAGGACCACTTTCTTAAAAAAGAATCGTTTAGAGTTTCCCAGATAGATTGTATCAGGAAAATCACAAACGCTTCCTGATTCTGGTCATTTCCTCCTTATCTTGAAGTGAATACAATGGGATGCGGAGAATAAATTCTGGCAAATTGTGTTTTTCATTGCGATTTTGTTTCTATTTACCTGATCGTGATCATTTCTTAACTGCTGTTAAATTTATCCTCTTTTGTGTGTCTGGATTACTCAGCCGGAAGAGAAACAGTTTATTTAGAGTTTGATATGTAACATTTGTCCATGCTCAATGAAGACAATCAATCACTTGCGTTCACACTTGCTCACTCGTGATCAAAAATCCAAACGCTTCATAAATGAAGAATGTAGCTTTCTTTATATTACTTCGTCCAATAATCACTGTTCCTGTATAATCAAGGAATTGAATGAAAAGTGAAAAAGAGATTGGAGTTAATTGAAATTTTTTCTCTAAATTGTCGTCGAATTCCATATGATCAATGTTATTGAATGTGTATCTTAGAACAATCGAGTAATTGGAACAATTTCGAAGAAATTATATCTTGAATGTCTGGATATTGTCAGCATGCTTGAACCAAGTTTTTGAGCTTGAGATAAATGAGTTCGCGATATCCACTCACTTCTCTGCAATCATTTTTTTACTTTAAAAATTCTTCCATAGAAAGTTGCATTGCGCTGGTGTGCATTAAATGTGAACGAGATTTGCACAAATTGTGTCTTACTATCAGTCACCAATTCCAGCGTTACAGTTACTGTTGGTGCTGGTGAAAGTATCTGAGAAGTTGATTACATGTTTTTCATCGACAACTTTCTCAAAGAAAGTATGAATGTCTCTGCTCCATGATGTATTTGCCAATCACGCTTTATCGTCGTTCCATGAAATTACAGGTGAACTCTCTCCACATCTAACTCGCGGAATGGACGAGTTGCAAGTGAGCGGTTCGAAAATTCGACGACAATCGTATGCTTCAGAGAAAGCAATCAGTCGCTCCCCTCGAGGTAGCTTCAGCTCTTCAGATTCGCGAAAACATCGTCGTGACTCGAACGCGATCACAGGACGTAAGGATTCGAATTCGGACAGTGCTCCCGTTTATGCGGTATGCTATGATCTCATAAGCAATCGATGTTCAATTTCACGATCTTCTCGCTTTTTCTCACGAATTCTTCCGTGCTCTCTTAAAGATAGGAGGAAAATTTTTTTTCATTGCGATGCAGTAAGATGACTGGAATCGCATGTCGCTTATTCTCAAAAACGAATCCTTTTGCGGAAGGCATACATGCAGATGACGAACTAAGGAAGAGCGTATTGCATGTATTATCCATAAGATTGAAGGTTTTGTCTGAAACGCTATAAATATCTCGTTAAAATTCACGTTTATAGTCTACCATCGCTAATTTTGACACATCGAGTTCATGCTGAGACAAACAGAGCCGCTTGGTTTATTTCAGTAGCATAGATGAAATATTACACATTCTTGTGAGTTTTGTAATTCATGCCGTTACCCTCTTTCTTTTTTCTTCGTGATAATATCTGAATCATGAACGTTCTTGATCGGTGATTCAAAATGATGATGGCGATTTAAAAAACTGAAGGATTCAGTTTATTTTAAATCGCCGTCATCATTTTGAATTCAGCAAAAGAAGTGCCTGTGTGAATGCAGTGAAAGCACTTCTATCTACATGTTTCTACGGATTATGCTGTTACTGAATTGCAAGTATTACTTTGAGACTGGCCTCGTATGGTCCTTGAGTTCGACCAGCATCGGCTGATGATTACAGTACATTTCGATGGGCTCATAGCTTGACAGAGAGACTTTCTCCTTCATGCCTTCTTGGTGCTTCAATTTTATTAAGTGACACCTCCTTATCGTTAGGTATATTTTGTCCGTTCCGATTGGAAGGATTGTCTCATAAAGAACTGTGAAAGGTTCATTCAAATAGTTTATTAGAATTTCTCTTATCGCAGGTTTCTCAAATTCCTAAATGGCCAATGAATTTCGTATTCCTTCTCATGTTTACACTGCTTACTCATTGCCTAGCAAATGATATTGAAAAGGCTTTCCAAGCAATAATGTCTACTATTGTTGTAGAAACTGTATAAGTTTCTATGAAAAACATTGAGAAATGCAACTTCAAGAGAACAATAAATGGAGTATCAACAGTATTGGTTCACGTATTTCGTATTGGCAGACATTAAATTTGATTAATTTTGTTGTCGAACAAATAGCGCATTGTTCTTTGATCATGTAGCAAGCATACTGTACCATCAACTTGCCTATTGAATTCGTACTTCCTCAAAATACTGCACTTGTCAGAACCAAAACAACAGATATCACGCATTTTCCAGAACTTGATTACTGCTTGACGCGTGGTGTGTCATTAGCGCAAATTGCAATGAATTGGTATATTTCGAGCGTTTCATAACTTTTCTCGATATGCATTAAAGGGCTGAATCATTGATCAGTCGAAACTGGAGCTAATGAAGTGGTGATAAACAAAATACTGTGAGAGGGTAAGGAAAAAGTTGATATTTCGTATAATTTATGTGACACATGAAGTTGTTTTTTTATTCGAGTAAAGAATCTTGAAGAATTTCACAATTTTACTGTAAAATCGCTTGAATAGATCCTCGAAGAAAGGTTGCCTGATAGTGACCAAGCGATCTTCTACATATTCTGCCAAAAATAATATTGCAGATCGCAAGTTTTTTTTCGACCAAATCAGTTGAGTAATGTTCTGTGAATGACGTTGATTAGTGGGTTAAGTTTGGAATGTCTCAAAGCCAAAAATACATGTACCAATCAACCACTTATATAATCCAGTGTTCCAATCAAAAGTTCTAGATTGCTGTCATTCAAATAATGCAGCAGAAACATCAACACCTGTTATTGTTCGTTCTACCATAACTTAAGAACAAATCGGTTGTTTCTTCATTTCATAATTCTTGGTCATTCGTTCGAAAAACATTTGCAACCCAAACAACTTTCATCGAAAACTGATGTTCTAAAACGTTGACAGTATTGCAAACATACTCATACTTACCACTGCTCTTTTAATTCCCTCGTAACCATTCTACTGCTGTTGTCATCAGGTAACTTCTTTACCGACAGCCGTCTTCTGCACTACCATCTGATGTGTCAGAAGCTATACTGTATGAATCACATCTAATCGTGATTCCGTGTAATTTCTTCTTCCAACCGAAACCGTTCCTTGCCAATATCGTCACACACAACAAGACACTACTGAATGAATTATTGTATTCGATAAGGGAGGTTGATTTAATTTTGCTACAAATTTATGCAAATCCAACAGCACGTTGAGAACTGCCAGTCTAACAGAAATCGTTGCAAATATGGAGCTGTCATCTGTTCCATGTGGGAACACGAGGTCTTGCGATGATGTCGCAGCTGAGGCACATCATAGCATGGATATAGTTACGAGAGGAAGCACGCCACCACGTTCGCGTTCTACTGTCTTGAATACAAAGTTGATACCAGCGATAAGGAATAATCTTATCAATCAATTCGACTTGATATGCAGCATTTCCTTGCCGAACATTCGTCGATCTCGAAGTACTCCACCGGGTTCGGGACGCAACTGCGAGGCAGCTTCACCGACGCTTAGAGCAAGTCAAGATTCATCGAGTTCATCCATCAGAATGCACAGGACGAATCGTAATGCAGTTGCTAGAAGCATGAAAAGTTCAAGGATCAATGCATGGAACGTGGTATATGATCAACCCAAGCCCGATCCCTATCGATACTTCAGACGTTTCCATCGCTCTCCTGAATATTCACGCGAATTGATTCAGCTGATTAATTTCGCTTTCTTCGTAGAACGATGGAAAAGTTACACGGAAGCATTCAATGCTGCTTATCCTATGTACAAAATGACGGTAATTGTTTTAGGTTTTCAGTTCTGGCTGTCGCATCCGTTTGATTACTAGGTCGTGAATCTCATATGCAGATCAATTTATGGAGACTGAAAATTTGGCTTTTGGAAAAAACCAACACAGAATGTTGATTATATTGAATTATAATGAACTACGATTTGTTCCAATATGTATTGAACATTTCTTGTCAATTTTTCATGTCAGTTATGATGAGCCATGGCCATGTCTCGAAAAGACGTACGTGCATTTTGCGCCCATCATCTTGTATTATGCGTTGCTATCATTCTAGCACTTAAAAGCAAGTTCGTTACTTTTCGAGCAGTGAAGGTTCGGATACAGTTTCCCGAACTTCTTTTTATCAATACCAGTATTCACACCTCAATTATTCATCAGTGAGTTATACATTTTCACCCTGATGAATGCAGCCCAAAACTAGCAGAATTTGTTGTTGATTTGCTTTTTCGTAAAAAAAGAATCGTATGTATTTCTGTGATATTCCTAATCATTTTTTCGTATGTTTCAATCACTCGTTTTATCATAATGTTTTATTGAGATTTCTGTGCAATACGCTCAAACGTTGTTTAAAGTCCGTTTCGCCACATTAAATAGGAATTTTCTAATGTTTGAAATAGGATGACGTTTTTTCACTGAATTTCAGATCATTTCAGTTCCCTGATTATATTGAATTTTTCCCTGAAATTTCACTGCTATTTGGTAGAAAGTCAGAGGCAGTCTCATAGACCCATCCAAAACTCCTCACCGAATCGGTTCATCACTATGATCATCTGTTTCTCAACGTTTTTCGATGCACTATTATTTGAATGATATACTTTTCGGAAAATTGAAGATATCTGTTGAGCGGATGTAAAAGATTGAATCATTTTTTGCATAACGGAGAGGTTTGCCACCAAATTTGCTACCAATGAAAAATAATGAAAAATGTTACTCATGAGAAAACTAATTTCATGACATTTATCCATTGTATTCAAGGATTCATACTGTTGTTTGAACATGATTCACACATTTCAACATCCTTGCAACTCATTCACTATGTTAAAGAATCTTTTTTTTTCAGTTTTGCCTATATCTACAAGAATTTTGCTGAATTTTGTTAATTACTATTCGCTAACTGATTATGAATGAATTCGATGAAAAGTGATCGTTATAGGACATTTTGAAATGAAAAACGAAACTGAGAACACTCTCACACACGACACGAATGATGCACTTAAATGTTCCATCGTATCGCATTTATGCCCTACATAGTGCTTTTTTTTTACTTTAATTCTCTCGATCCATTTCATCTCGCTATCACTGCATTGATCTTGCCAATTTGGATTTATTTCTCAACTTATATCTGCATCATTAACTCAAGAGAGCTTTTCTTCAAATCAGGACAAGCAGGTTATTTCTTCACTTATCTCTGTAACTCGATGCTTATGGTTGATGACAGGATGTTTTTGCATGACCATTCAACAGTTACAGTTGTGACCATTCGACAACTGAAATGGCTTAGTGATTGCTTATAATGCTTTCCAGCAACGATATTTTTAATCAATGTGAAATTCTATAAAACTAATAAAGCTCATCAAAATTTCTATACAAAATCTTTTAGCTTCATTAAAGCAGCAAGTGCCACTAGCATCTTGCAATGGATTGCTGTTTGCTCTCAAAACGCGTATTTCATTCTCATTATAAGCACTTCATCGCTCATTCGTTGGATCAAAACAATGTTTCCCATTACAGCCTTAAGATAGAATCAACCGTTAAGATGTCGGAGCATCAATCAATCTCTTTCACCAAACAGCGTTTACATAAAAAGCGGTTTCAATTGACATGATGTTAATCACTAACATGTCACCACTACCAAATTTCCACTCATCAAACAAATTCCGACTGACTAATTCAATCGAAAATATGCTAGAGAGCTTAAAATGTTGCATTTTTTAGAACCTGACATATTATATTCTATTCTAAAATACGCCCAGTTCTCAATGGCAGTTGTAATAATGATCTTCGGAACTCGTGAACATTAAATATTATTTAAGATAGGATGTTTTTGCATGACCATCCAACAACTGCCGTTCGATGAAGTGAATGTGAATGCCACTTCTCGTCGTATTTGTCCCTTCTGACTGAATCGAATAACATTTTCGAAAGAGAACGATACAGAAACGAGGCCTCCGTAAAGAAAACAAGCAAAAAGGCAGCTGTTGCCCTGCTTTCAATAGCAGATCAACAGTAACGATCTATGAAGATACTATGTTTTATGCTTCAAGTAAACACCAGTGCAAATTCCGTTGTATCTTACCAATTAGTCACACCGTGCCGTCTTTAAACTAACTGATTCAAATGGCGATTAGATGAAGCAATATGGACTATTCAACCTTGAAGCTATTCCTGTTGCGATAAAAGTGCGAGCACTCATCATTCATTCGGTGATCCACAAATGACACCTCAAGTTCTCGACGCTCATCACAACGGAATAGAACAGTAACTGCTTTCATTCATAACACCTCGAGCAGAGCATTTGATAAGCGTCTCGATTGCTTTCGTCTTTAACAACGGATCTTCCGGCTGCTCACATTATATTCCGTTCCTCAAATTTTTGTGCCGTTGAGCTTATGAAACGTCGCCGATGACATTTATTCGTATCTCAAACGATCACTACCTCATATCCATTGAATGAAGGTTCTCAAAGTTTCCGTATAAACTACTTCGATCTGTGATATTACTTTATTGGTCCGGCTTGTTATCGTCAAGAACTCCGAAGACAGCCGTTATTACTTCTTTTTCTACTCACATTTTGCTGCCGGTAGTAATCAATTGAATCTATCGAAATCGACCGTCATTATGCCTTTCGCAACTCCAACACCTAATCAACGGCGTTTTTCTACGTCGACGTCGAGCTCGAAAATGACGCGCGAAGGGTCGTTTAGTTCAACAGTTGGTTCATTCGATTTGGCTGGTGAATATCGCGGTTCGGCTACATTGCTCGGAAGAATCTTCCGCTTTGAACTTAGTAAGCCGAAACAGAGGAGAATGAGCACTCCACTTTCAGTCAGTTGCTACCAGGACGAAGAAGAAAGAAGGCGCGACGCCATTTTACGAATGAGGAGTTATGACGTGCGCCAACTTGAATTTTTTTTATTTTCTCTATTTTGATTGCGCTTTGTAGGCAGCGTGAGAATTTCAACGGATCGAGTTCGTAGAACATTTAAGAGTTTTTGAGAAAGTGTCTCTCCTCGAATGAGGTGATCGCAAATTTATCACTTTCTTCATCGCCATAAATTTCAAATGAATTTCTTTGTTTTGATAACTGATCTTTTCAAGACATATTGCAAAGACGTTAATCACGTTTCTCTCGACATTGTGCCAAAAAAACTGTACTCGTTGCATGTAAATATATGCAGTTATTTTTTCACGGAATCATCCGATTCTCTCCAGGCGAGCAGTATTTCTTTCCTCTTATCCTGATCTCTGCTTCAAACGATGGACGAAGTAAGGCAATCCTTGATGCTGTGAGAATGAGCGATAAGAAATTGTGCATTCATTAAGTACCCTCTCCGATGATGGTTGTCACGCTCTCGCGCCTCTTGCCAAATTTCGGTCGTATTTTAGACCTCCGACGCCTCCCCCTCTAAGAATATGCGTATCCACAATTATCCTCCATCTAACGATCTTAATAACCATTCACAGGAAAATCAAATGAGCAAAAAATTTGCTGCCGAAATTTCGTTGTTTTATCAAAAGAATCATTTCGTGGTGATCAGTCAAGCAATTTGAAAACATTGTTGAACAATTATGAGAAGTGTTCAATTAACAGTGGTTTGTCAACCTCTTCCTGACATTTCCAGAAACGCCTATGAATCCCCTCTTTCATACGAGCCGCTGCTCTACGCAGTTTAGTATTTACTCTTTCTATACAGTCCACATTCAGCGATCAATTTAGGTTCTTTATTGCAAGAATGCATTAGCCTGAACGATTGGTGATTTCTAACTCCGATTGAAAACAGTTTCCTTTTTATAAAATCGAGTCAACGAATGCTTTTCCCACTAAAAAACCTGATCAAATTTACAGATCTATCCACATCAGTATACGGAGGATCCTACTGTAGCATGGGAAATGCTGAAACCGAAGCGACCTGTTAAAAACGTCCGACAAGTAAGCAACTTCAAACCACCATACTTTTGGGCTTTTCCCAATGCTTCGACGATGATCGTTTTTTTTGTGTCACTTCCACAACATGCGCTGTCATTAGCCAACCGGTTGGTGCTTTCGAAGTATCAGCAGAGGAAAACACCCAATTATGTCCACAGAGGATGCACTGGATCAAGCAAACGCGTCCGCATATTCTTCCAGTCGATTTCAATGAACATAATTTTGTGAAAGTAGTCGACTTTCGCTGGATTATTTATTCTCAGATGAAGTTGGATTCACCGATGAAGGCGGATCACGTGCGATTCGTTTGTGTGGCTTGTACTCATGGCGTTGCTCTTGATCCGGCTTTTGTACCTCCTGGTGATATTTTAATTGTTGCTGGTGATTTTACGAGCTGCGGCCTCCCTAAAGAGATCAAGATGTTCAATGAAAATATGGGTAAATTTGCTATTTAGATATTCTGTTCCAAGAGCATTCGTCTTCGAAACATTTCATGAGAAAATGAAATTTACACAAGCATAATAAACCATTCCAAATTGTAGAAATTAAGTACTATCGACTACAGTTCCTTTTCAATTGCAATACAGTACGGTCTCCTTCTTTTGAAATAATTTTCCACATAATTATGATTAGTGAACACAGCTGATCACGTTGAACATATTCTCAACATCACGTATCCATGTACTCCAAAGGCGATGCTATATCCTTCATTTTTTGTTTCCTTATGACTTTTGAAATGTCAGCTTAAGAATCTCTAGTCACCCTTTCAGTTTGTTTTATATGCATGCATCGATATTTTAGTAATGGGTCAGTATTCGTTTATAAGTCTACATCGTAACCACTTTATTTTCGACCGATTTCAGGGCAAATGAAACATCTCTTCAAAATCGCGATCTCCGGCAACCATGAATGTACATTTGACGATACCTTTCTGAAGTCTTCAGGTAATTTTTTCGTTCCTAAACACTCATTACGTTGAAAGCGATGTACAGCTTGAGTTTTTTTTTTTCGAAGCATATATCATTTCCGAAGGTTTTCTCCATACAACTGATTTATTCCACTATTTAAAGTAGTCATATTTCACGGTTGATTAATGGTGTTTAGGAAAAGATATTGGCGAAGCAAAAGAAACGGCCTTGAAGCAGGCTTTATCCGCTGCTCTATCTTCAGCTAAAGTAAATAATCCAAAGTCACTGCTCACAAATGTTATATATTTACAAGATTCAATGGTTGAATTGTTCGGTATTCGCATATACGGCACCCCGTGGTTAGTGCTACAGTCAACCTCATCATCACAAGCATGTTCAATTGAACATATCATCAGAAAATATGAATTCACTCATGCATGCTAATCTCAAACCTCTACTAATGGTGTCAACCTTAAAGCAGAGCTGTTTTTTTCTTAAGCCAATGCGATGACTTACGACATCGAACATTAATCGTTTGTTTCACTGTCCCAATCAGAAACTGAAATTTTACCATATATTCCCTACGCAGTCGTGTCGATCCGTTCATTTGTGTGCAATCCACTCCTTCCAAAGCTATGCTTATCAGAACATTCAAAACCTCAGCTCTTATCCGTGACGATGCAAAATTCCCTTCACCTAATGATGTTCTGAATTTTCAAACTCAGTCCTGAATCCGAATGAGCTTCTCGTTTAAGTGCACCTAAAACCTATATATGTATTGCATGGATCTCATTGCTCAAATCTACCACACAAAGAAATTCCAAAGCAAATATTTTAGGCAACCGAAAATGGATAATTGGGCATTCAATTTACCACGAGGGCAAACCCTTCTAACAAAATGGAATCAAATTCCTACCGGAGTTGATGTACTCATAACACATACCCCTCCTCTTGGTTAGTCTTTTCACATATTTTCAGACAAATATCATGCTCGAACAATGTCCTATTGCCATTCATGTCAGATATCAGAATTATTCCAATATTTCATCGAAGCATTTATTCTCAGTTTTTTGAGCATAGAAGCATATATTCACTGAATATCAACATCAAATGTCGAGATCACTCCACAAAAGTTATCGCGAAAAATGAGTAATCTCTCATTAACATATCAACGGAAATCAGAATTCAAATGAAAAATACAATCTAGCAGGGTTAATGGTTGATTTTCTTCGTCAGAAAAGTGTAGCTTACGATCATTTTTGCAGGGCACGGCGATACCTTGTCAACAGGAAGCAGGGCTGGATGCGTTGAGCTTCTGAATTCAGTTGTGAAGAGGATACGTCCAAAGTATCATGTATTCGGACATGTTCATGAAGGTCGGAAGTAATGACGCTTTTAGCATTCTAACTATTCATCTGCGTATCTATACCGTAACTGCACTATTCTTCTTTGCGCACAAATATGTGCAGCTTTCAAAATATACTGGATGCTTGCTAATTTGAGTTTATATGAAGGCTTATGACGGTATTTGCAGAGAAACTGATTCAAAGTGCATTCCATTGTTGTTTTTCGATAGTTATTCGATGCTCCAAATATCGATAGCATTCATTGAGGATATCGCTAATTTTGAATGGTTGTCATTTTCAGGCTATGGTTGTACATCAGATGGTTATACAAAGTTTATTAATTGTTGTTTAATGAATGAGAATTTGGAAATGACAAATACGCCGGTTATATTCGATATTCCAGTGAACGCAGAGACGAAAGCGCATTTTCTGCAGAACAGCAAGAAACTAATGAAGAAGCTAACACACAAATAAAAATTTATTTTTGCCGGCCTATCATTTTTACTGCTGAATGCAGTTGAATGTTCTTCGATATGGACTTACAGATGCAGAACCAATGAAGCATTTACAAGACATCATGCAATCATGAAATGACTAAACTAAATACGACGGTATCCTTAAAAAAAGATTATTCTTTAGGTTTAAAAAGCGCTCACGTGCAAAGTGTACGAATGAGCAGTGATACGCAGAGATCAGTTGGCATTCGTCAACAAGTGACTGTTTCATAGAACTAACAAGTGACTTTATTCAAGCTTCAATTGTAAACAGCGATGTGTTGAGTTGTGAAACTTTAAGGTATTCCATTCGTTGAGAATAGACGAATTATAAGAGATGAGGCTTGTTTGCTAGCGGCAGCCGGAACAGCTGTCGAACGATGAAGGATTTATGTGCCAACATTTATTCAGCTCAGTGAGGGTTAAAGTCAAACAATCAATTATACTGAACAGACTTGTTTTTTTTTCAACCTTTAGTATCAATGAAGTAGCTGAATCAAGAGAAAGTAACTCTTATATGAGATTTATTCATCACTTCCAGGGTCAGAAAAATAATAAATTACACATGATATTGAAACGCAACAGTAACGAAATGTGTTCTGACTACTTATTGAATGATTTCTGACCAATGAAGAAACTTCAAAACATTTCGAAGGGAACAAGCACTGATTTCATCACAATCAGTTCTTTTTGGAGAAGCCGTGAGATGAATATCAATCAGATTTACACACAATTGTTGTGTAGAGTAACGGACCAGACCACCAGAGGTGTTGCTGCCTATGATAGTTAATATAAAACACGTTCACCAATCGTCCCCATTATTTTACTTGTGAAAAACATTTCATTTCTGTACTACTTACTGAAAAAGGAATCAACTCAATAAGAATTTCAAGTAAAATCGTAGCCTCATTGATGCCATCGGAGAGTACAATTAACTGGTCTGGAGAGGGTACCCTTAGAAACAGTTAGTATTTCAGTTATTTTGGTAGCATACACTTTGGAAATTTCCCATGCCTTTAAATTTATCCAGGCGGACGGCCTACGTGTTTCACAGAAAAAACGTTGATCATCCACATACTCGATTCGATCAATTCAAAATGAAACTAAAGACACCGAACTTTTTGAAAGAAAATTCAGAATTCTGATAATCTACTCTTTATGGGTCTCATATCTTACTCATCCACAAAAGACTCGAGCCTCCACAGCACTGTGGAATATCTTTTAGAATTGCTATCAAGAGGAATGGGTCATGTCCAATCAGTGCTAAAACGATCAACATAAACATCATTCGCAGTCATCTGTAAACAGCTATCACATAAAGTGACAATACATTCTGACAATATATTCCGAAAGTGACAATATATCACTAAATTGGATCTATTTCATTGAAATATCACTTCTTGAAATGAGTCGTTCTTACGGTTCTTTCCAAGGAATTTTTGAGTTAATCCCTTCTTGAATAAACCTAATTTATTCGCTAACTCTAGTTGATGACGTCAATGAACAATTAGGGATGCAGGGATTCATGAATTAAGGAGCTTGAATGAATTGTCATCCCCCCAAACATGAATCTTTTATTTTTAACATTCACACAACGTTCCTCCATGCAGTTCACATGTTCTAAAGACTAATCTTGTGGGTAAAGCGCTTACACGTGTACGTTTGCCATATTTCAGACGAGCAGATCAATTCAAAATTTGTTATTACGTCAGAAAAAATGCAATGTGAAAAAAAAAGCTCAAAATGCATGTAATCTTTTAAGCCGGCTCAATTCACCTGATCAGTTGAGAAGGTTTGTTGATTTTTTTGATTAACCAGATGAATCGTCTTTATAGAAATTGCATAGCGAAAGGAAATAAAACAACCAAAATTCTTGATCTGTTTTCTGACGTTTGGGTCTGGAACAAAGCGACTTCAAGTACTGTTTGTTGTTCTCTAACGCCACAAACGGTCAACAACAATAAATGCATTCATTCCGTTCCTCTTCTATGCACAAAATGAAAAAGTTTGCATGATAGGTGAACTCCGTTGCTGAGCATTACAATAAACTTAACAGAAATGTCGAGTAAACAATAATTCGATCATGCACAATCTGATGCAGTGCACAAAAGGAGCGATGCCAGACTTTTTTTCGACTTTTTTTGAAAGTTCGCCTCCATCTGATTTCATGATTATCAGTGCGTCAGATCTTTTGGATTATTCAACAAGATCAGATGAAGACTGCTCCAACAGAATGGGTGTTATAGAAGGTTTGCATAACATGTGTATTATCCAGTGAAAAATAGTGATCCAAAGAAAAGGAAGTTCTTTCTTGGTCCACTACCGTTTTCCATTACGAATCATTTCGCCCAGTCCATCATTTCATATTCCAATCATGCCCATTTTTTTCCCAAACTGCAATTTTTGAATTAAAAAATTTCGTTGAAACTCACATTGATGAAGCTATTTCGAATTCAGCAAGAAGTCGATAAAATGTTGATAATTGTGGTTTAAAAATTAAATTTTATTCATTCTATAACGGCTTCTGGATGCAATAATTCTTTTGTATTACGGTGATCGCGCCTGTTCAGTATGATGAAAATTTCCATCGAAACTACGATTTGTTTTTTTGTCTAGTCACAGAAAAAACGATGAATAGCCTCCTTGCCATGATCACATACAGATTGTGATGCACTAATTTTTCTGTTCATCAACAACTGACCTGATCTTGTCAGTCGCATACCAGATTAACCCTAAGTTTCGAACATATTAATCAGTTTTCTTATTTCAAAACAGCTGCTTGATGAATGCTGTTAACTTGAGGTATGGAGTGCTATGGCTAACCACGTGCTGCTCGAATGGACTCATTCATACATGAAACTGAACTCAAGATTGTGCAGCATAAAGATGAGAAGAATACTGGCATAGAATTTGGCATATAATGCCTCTAACCATACTAATACATCTCGCCATAATATCTGTTGATGAAATCGTTTTCTAAGGGTTGAATGAAAAGCGAATAGAAAGACAGCGTGAACTTCAGTTGTCACTCATTTTTGCTTTTAGTTCACTAAATTGCTTGCCACCTTCTAGGTACAGTTGAGCAGGCTATCCAAAAATCGTGAAACAGTTTTACTTCGTTACCAATAATTAGAAATGCACAAATAACAAGCTGAGCTTATCATTTTATGCATTCAGAACAGTCACTATCTTAGTGAATACATTTCGTCGTAATATTTTCCATTGATCTTCGGTTTATTGCACTGAAACGTGACGGTCACCTACAGAAGTATGTTCCTCTTCTCCTGACACAGAAATGAATTTTGCATTTGTTGTATCATCTACAAGTGGCTTCTAATTGAAGTACACAATGATGAAACTGTAATACAGTTATCACATCTAAGCAATTTTTCTCCGTAAGCATTAAAGTTGATCTTTTAATAATACTTTTGTGCTCTTTAATTTGGTTGCTGGAGAATGAGTGATCAAAATACATTTGCAAAATGCGTCCAGTAACGATGTTCAACGCCGACCGTTGGAAGGCAAATAACTGCATTGCAACAATCCGTGTTGAACATCATTCAGAAATTCGCTGGCAAAGAAAGTCGGCTAATTTCTGCAGTGGTTCGAAACTCTACACGAGGAAAGCAATCTATGAACTTTTATTATTTATCACGTACACAAAAAATTATTCGGAAAAATCTCACAAGCAATTGTTTTTAGATATCAGTTTTTTTCTGGTGAACTTCTTAATAAACCTTTACTCAAAGGTGATTAATCTCTCATTTAAACATCGATGAATTTTTATTGGCACGTTTGATGGAGATGCTAGCTCATCATACTTTATCCCAAAGGATTGCAGTAATCCCACATTTATGTCGCGTAAATGAGAACAGTGAACGTAGCTAAACCATATCTATATGATCGTGTTTTGTAAATGAGCAATCAAAATCATTACCAATGCACTGCTTGCGACTCTACGCAGCAACCACAATAAAATCAGAACACGGCTACTGCATCATCAACGTCTTCAAATTCTGCTCAAGAATGCTTTCTCGGCAATCTTTGAATACTCGTCGTATATTTTCCGTATCAACTGCAGTCGTATAATGATAAAAGAACGGACGCCGTTTATCTCGCCGACAATTTTCAAATTTATCCACCAAGAAAAATTGTACATCACGTACACTGCGGTGATCACCCGTGAAATCCGCAAAGTACTGACGGATATCTGATTTTGGCACTTTTTCTGCAATGAAAAAAATTGAGTGGGTTCCATTCACATCTCCTTATTGACCGTTCAGCTATGCCACCCAGCATGAACTCGAAATTGTACGAGTGACTTTCATGTTCGTCATATACGCATCATAGGTGCTGTCACTACAAAGTACCATTGCGTTGGCAGCAAGGCGGTCACAGCAATATTATCTTAAAATGCATGTCCGATCCACTGCACACATGCGTTTTGCAGCGCCAGCACTTCGGTTACATTAACGCTTAACGGAGATACCAGCAAAATTTGGTCATCAGCTCTGATTATTCATCTGATAAACTTAACATTTCTCAAAGACGAAAACATTCATCTGAAGGAGGAAGAGAGGGGGGAGGGGGGGGGGGGGGGGGGGGGGGGGGGGGGGGGGGTGAACCGTTCATTTGAACAAGGTTTGAACATGAAAAAGGAGAGCGTTTCAAGCTGATGACAACAGTCACTTACGTTCCAACAGATCACTCTTATTCATGAAAAGAATGATGGAGACGTTTGAAAATGACTTGTTGTTGGCAATGGTCTCGAATATCGACCGAGACTCAACTACGCGATTGGTACGTCGATCTTCCAGTATCACCTTGAACAGACTCCGTTACAAATTGGTGATAATTAAACAGTAAATGATATGTGTTCCTTTACAAATATTCCTTCCATTATTTTCATGAAAGTCGTGTTCTTAAAATGAGTGGAAATATCTCTCAGACAACAATATCTACGTTGTGTACTTGATTCAGTATTGTCTTACGCATCCCATCGTAATTTTAAGATACTCGCAATCAAAAGGCAAAAATCTCTCGCAGCTAAGTAGCATAATCCTATTTGAAGTTGTCAATCACATGAAAGTAATAAATGATTTTGAACTGATTGGTAATAATGTGTTGCATGGATTTCTGGGATGATATATTGCGCAAAAGCAGCACCTGATCATATTCGCAAGAGGCGACCATAAATAAGATGCTTGTAATATCCTCGAAACACTGAAACCACTTTTGCCTTTGCGATCGTTGACCGCCAACATCGATAAACCTGAGCAGAACAAAAGTCTTAATCAATCGAATTTCTAAGAACAAATATGTGATAGGGTAACAGATAAAATTCGAGACTCGAAGAAAGTATAAATTATGACTATTCGGCATCTTGCTAAAAATCTGCAGCATTCATCATTCATACCCGTACTTTTGCATTATCAACTAGTGACCAAATTTTAGCAATATAGCACCCACATACTCTCTAATAACAGTGCAATTCAGAAAAGCTACGAACGAATAATTCAGTCAGCTAATAATTGCATTTCATTTCCAGTTCAATCGTTTACCAACCCAAGAGGCATGAGTGGATAAATAATTCCATATTAGCACAAATTCAGATTTATTTTTCAGAGAGCAGTAAACGAAAATTTCGTAAATATCATCATTCTTCCTTCGATTTTCGTCATCACGTTGCTTTGTATTTCCGTTCATGATCATCTTCCAAGCCAGAGATTTACTCGGGATAGAAAAACGATCGAGGGTTTGCAAATATAAAATTCGGCCCATTGACTATATTTCGTAGACCTATCAATTGCGTGGGAGATAACATTTTGGTGAATGACACTAGAAAGGTAGTGGAACATAATTTTGAAATAAGCTTTGATAAGCAACATTAAATCAATGGGTCAAATTCTGCTCAAAAAATGATTCAACTTCAAGCTTACGACGTGCAATCTTTAATGCTAACCTGAACGGTATCCGCTGAATTTCGAAGACGTGTTCAGTTATACCACGAGTGGCCTTCCGACAAAACAAAATATCTCTATTGGTTGGATAATAATCCGGCATTGAGACCCTGTTGATATGCTCGAAAAAATAAATGCACGAATCGCACTGAAAAAAATATTCACTGCTGCTTAGCGAATTTGCGTCGATTCACAGTGTTCATAGATGGTATGAGTACTGAAAAAATTGTTGTATGTGACAACAGTTTTCTATGGTGATGTGGCAACGAGAGTCGACAACTTCCTTTCAAGAACGAATCAGTTGATGGTACTCATGCACCCATTGCACACAGCACGTGAGCAACAAATCATATCACCAGCGTCATCCATTCAGAATTTTTGCAGGTGAGTAAGTTAAAAATCCTACCTTATTACTGCAAGCTGTGAATGCTCTCATTTTCTTTCAGGAACCACATTTCAACAAAGCAAAGCGGTAGTTACTAGGATTTGAGAGCTTAGTTTGGTGCCATTTCATTAACATCAATAGCAGAATAATGAAGGCTAGCAAAATCTCTTACAATCATATCGGATAATATCCATGAAATATATCGTCGTTCTGACTGAGCTGGCTGCCTTTCATAAAGAATGAAAATGTGGTCAAGTAATTAGAATACTCACAATTTGGAACAAATTTCGTTGTTCATAAGTATGCTTGATAGCTTGATCATCCCACAGATCTCTTACCAAGGGTGCCACATCGGCGAATGTTGGTTGATCTATACCTCGCATCATATCAGTAGCTGTGAACCTGCAAAATTATGAGTTAACTGCTCAGATGTGAAAATGAGGTAATCATATAATATTTCAATTTTTGTAAATTATTTGTAAAACAGATCGGAGTGTTGTTCTGCGGAGATAACGATTTCGTAAAACGACTGTGCTCGTTTTTTATCGCACTTGATCTTATGAAGATGTGCTATTTTGTTATCTCAGTTCATATGCTCGAAAAAAAGTATTGCACGATGTATCGGCCTGTAAGATGCATTGATAGTGAGCAGATAGATGAATATTAGTTTCATAGTGATTTAATAACCTAAAGACTGATATGAGAAGCAATGACGGTCAGTGGATGACTAGATAAAACATGAATGATAGCGAAACACTGAATGAGCTCACCTCATAACTGCTTCGACATGTTTTTGTCGCTCGGGATTCTGCCACGCAAATCCGAGCTTTTGACGCGCATCCAAGAGTACTCGCATTGCTGAGATCACATTCTACAACAAACTAATTCCACTGTCAAAAAGCAAATGGTATAGCCAGTGCACAAATATCTTATTGGAGACTTCAGTGACCGATAGTACGGTGAATGAAATGTTCAGGAAATGCAGTTGGAGAAGCTAGCTGTTGATAACGCAACGGAAACATAATCGAATGATGAAACTTTTCATTCCATTCCAAAGGATGACTGATGTTTCAATCACCTGATAAATTTGTTGACGATATGCTCGGACTTCATCAGCTGTAAATTCTCCTTTCCCATGAATAATGACCATTTGCTTGATGAATGTTGATTTTCCTGACTCTCCTGAGCCAAGCAATAACAACTTCACCTGCAAAGACAGCACTCGAATATTTTTTCATCAAAATAATACTGGTATTATACAAACATGCACATAACACCTTTAGCAACTATTCTATTGCTTCCGTTAAATTCGACGAAAACATTTTGCACAGCTTAATCAATAACCTCATGGATGACTGATTCACTGTTTAAAATGAGACTACAACAGATGACCTGTTTTTTCAGCTGTTTTTTCTCCTTTTGGAGTTGCCTTTCGATCGATTTGGTGTGTTCATCAGGTCCTCCAAAGCAGCATACAGCAGCCAGCATTTCCAAATAAGCTACCTTTGGAATGGAAATTATTCTTTTGAGTGTTCTGAGTTTCTTGTTCTTTCTGAAATCAAGGCATTGAGTGATTACCGATAGTTCATTCAATACGCGAAGCTGAATGCGAACAATGTCAACTATGCGCTTGGATACACCCAATAATCTTGCACATTGAAAGATGTTTAGGATCTTTGCTGAAATTTCCGAAACAACTCAATTAGAATCGATCATTCTGAGGAATCCACTTGAAGCGCATTGATTGGTCAACGACGTTACTTAATAACCACGGTGCCGCAAAATAATTTTTGCAGTATAGCGGGCATAACTGACGCCACAAAATGAGCGTAATTTCAGAACATTAAATAGTATGCTATTTCGAATAGATCGAAATAAAATACTTAGATGCAATTTATCTACTGTTGATTATTGTCAAACTTGCAAGTTTCAGCAATAAAGTTTTTACAGCACGTTCCGTGAAGAGAGACTCTTTTCAGTTGCAATCATCGCAAAAGAAGTTAGAAAAAGTTCACAAATGCATGCAAATCGCTAGATCTCTACTTGAGGATTACTCGTTCTTCTATTGTTTAATTGATATTTGAATAAATTACGGATTCCGAGATGATCGGATCTCATTCGTTTCTTTCAGTACACGATGGACTATTAATTATCTCTACTAGTCGTTTTCTGTCGTTAAATTATTGTATATAACTTGAAAAAAAAAACTTTATTGCAACGTTGGTATTCTAGCCTTTTCAATCCTCTTTCGCCACGTTGAAATCTCCCTTCCCCAAAAGAGAAATTCTATTGATTTGGTGAATTTTGAACGAACGTAAAAAATAATGAGTAAAAAATTGGTACGAAGGCTTGATGGAAACAAAATTGAAGAAGAACAAGTACTAGCACGCATTTGAACACTGATAAATGCTTCATTAAATCTATCACCTGTATACAAAGATTGTTTTTAAGGTCGCATTAGTTTAGATTTTGTAGCATAAAACGGGAAATATGATTCAACATCGGACAGTTGGTATTTCATTGTTCCTCTGTCAACTATGCAATCGCTTTTCATTGACTGCTGCTAACAATCCACAAACAGCCGGAAATTGAATCTTCTTTTTGTTCCCGGCTGAATCACGAGTGAAATGTACAGCAATGTGCTTGATGAGTATCCCAACTGTTACTCACTTTGGAAGCTGTCACTGCTGAGCGTTCCAATACTCTACCAACAGATGCTGTTCTTTCAAGTTGAATAATATGTTGGATTAATCCGACAAGCGATCTGCTACCATAAACTTATTATATAAAGCGCTTAAGTAGTGTTAAATGCTGTTGTACGAATGAATCATGTTCGTTAACGACAGCTATTGTTTGTCTTTCGAAACCATCCACTGCAAGTATTACGCATACAAAACAATAACTGCTTTGTGTAATTGCGTAATTTATGTGAGTGGTTAGGTATATTTGTGAATGAACAGTAAGGAGCGTTAAATAAACATTGATGGGTGAAATGAGGACGATGAAAACGACACGATGCAATAAGAGTTTCTTCCGCCCAAACAATATTTTGCGGTTCTTCAGCGAACGCTAAATACTCATAAATGCTTTTTCGTCATAGCGATTGATTTCAGAGTTTACATGCTACTAAAACTAAAAGATATGGAAGCATACAGTGGTATCACTTGTGTTGATAGTTCATGAACATTTTTGGTTAGCACAATTATATTAAGCCTTCGTCTACATAATTTCATAAAATCAATGATAAGGATAAGCAAGGTTTAGAAGAACGTTTTGAGACTCCCGGCTGAAGAAGTATATTTCAGAAAGCCAAAGAAACTACGAAGCTAGAAAAAAATTTCATACGATCTCATCTCATTTCATACGATTGCGATTTTTTCGGAATCTTTATCACAGTTTTTATGGAGCAATATAGTTAAACAATTCTCGAAACACACAAGCGCTTAAATCATAGCGTCTTACTAGCTTAGTTTGGTTGTTACGGAAACTAATATTATCAATAAAAAACGATTGAAAATAAGAACAGGATTTATCGACGTCATGTTATTCATTCACAACAAAATCATCAAAGATCAATTCGTTAAGATCAAACTAAGCAATAGATAAATGAAACAAAATTACAAAATTATCACAAAATTTGATGCATGTAAAAAGACGAAATTAAGAAGTGTGAATGTACCAATTCTTTGTTGCACACAACAATGCAATCGCACTTTCACAACCTCCTGTTCCACCTATTCAATCGCCTGAATATTTGAGAGGATATATTCAATAAATATAGAGGAGTTATTTACTATGTAACATAAAATATTTATCGTATGTGTTTCTATCATACGCGTGATGAATACAGAGATTTAGAAGATACACAGATCGATGCAGTTCGATTGATCGAATAAATGGAATGACGTTAATTTATACACGGCATATATGATTCATCAAAGATAAATGTGGTGGCTAAATATTTGAACATGGAAAGGTTATTGAACAACATCGCGATGAATGAATGGGATAAGAACGATCGCTTGATGAATCAACCGTTCATACTTTTGTTTAATGACTATTATTGTATGATACATTGTTTCCATCATCAATTTATTAATCAATGATGCACTTCAAATAATTCTTACGAACAAATTTCAATTAAACATTCATCGAGTCAATGAAGGAAAAACGAACTAATGGCACGATTAGGCATATCTGTGTGCCGGCAGACTCGTGCATATTAGAGCAATAATTGTAAATTCATGTGAAAAGCAAATTTTTGTGGTAATCCATTAGAACAAGTAATTGAAACAAAATAGCATCGTAATTCTTTCCAAAAAAACAACGACCATAACCTTTGATTTGAACTTTGCTGTCTCAAGTACGAATATTGAAGCAACAACATGAAATCAGCTACTGTGTAGAGGTGCCCAAATCATTGATTTGCGGAGCTGCGCATAAGCGTCTGGGTTAAAGTCAATGGACGCAGAGAATAACTGCAGTAGAGGATCTCATTCCAAGTAACTGCGGAACATGTCAACAAACAATCAATTCAACCAATTTCAACCACGAAGGCTAGGTAGCGCATGTTAAGCAATTTCTACTGCTTTTTCAGAATTTGAATTGTTTCGATATCAATATCATCGCTTTAAAAAAAAAACTCTATCGACACTATAAAACTTTTCTACGGAGCGAAAATCAACATGCACCATGGCGCAAGATCTTGTTTCAGGTAGCGTCAGATGAAACAACAAAAACTGTTGCTGGAAGAGAAAATATAAGGAAGGCTTCACAGTGTATCATTCGAATCGTTCTGGAGAGAAAAAGCCAAGAAATTTCCCCAGCTATGTTATAAAATAAACAAGGTTTCAAAACTGCCGACGAACGAATGTCCCATGGTTCACACCCATCCATTCATGAATGACTCTCCCTTTTTCTCTACATCCGACGTGCGGGTGCATATACATGATCTACTATACATGGCCTGAAAAATGTAGAGGATAGGGTTCGAACAGTGTAGGATATTGTTGAGTGGAAAGTGTTCAGATCTCGAACTTGAGTATGCGCATAAGGCTGACGCCAAGCAGTAGGCTGAGCCCAGGTGAGACTAAGACTAAGAATAGCTTGACCCGATTCGATTCGAACTTCTCCGTGTTCGACACTGGCACTCTACTGTACAAATCAAAAGCAAGTCCATGGAAGAGTTAAGTTGTTGATTTATTCACTGATGCTATACTGCCGTTTCTGCATCAAAAACGAAATTATGCCTTAAATGACTCGAACGACATTAGAGAACGAGAATGAATCCGAATGTGCGGTAATTTGGAAGTAAAAATAAATTCGAAAGAGTGGTTGAAGAAGGAAGAAAGAGATCGGTTGCACGAGGAGACGATGTCTGTAGAAGTAAGCGTTGTTTGAGTGCTGATGGTTGTGTTTCGGGCAACAACTCAAACTGGTTCTTCAATATTCTCGATGCAACCACACAACCAATCATCATTGCAAATAATCATTACACACCTTCATCATATTATTTCATTCAACCACTCTTATTCATCATTCACTGAAAATTGTAATTTCTGATGAAATCTTAAATTCTTTACTCTCATCAACATTTTTTTTTCAAATCAAAACTCTATCAGGAAAATGACTGCATTTTTTCTGTGAAAACAATCATTTCTAGAGACATCAAACACAGCTTCGTCAGTGGTAAAAACCTGACTGACATATTGGAAATGAGTGATTAGTTCTTGAGCACACCTCAACGATATTCTCATTTCTTTGAGATTATCTTCAAAATGAGAATAAGTTGAAGAATACTGCCTGAACTATGCTTTGCTTTTAGAATGTATCATGTCGTTCGATGTATTTTTCACTACAACATGCTTTTTGTATATCACCTTCACCTTACTGCATGTGAAATATATGCTCATGAAAGTCACTGCGAACTAGAGCATCACTCAATTTACACATTGCCATCAACAGAAAAAGATGAATCCTGCACCAATACCCAATTATTATAACGTGTACTTTATATGCGTCATTTTCATTCTCAGTTGACATCGTTGATGATATGACGACCAAGGTTGGGAATTCTGGGGAGGAGAGCTACAAACGGCAACGAAGCCTAACGGACGGAGGAGTACCGCTTTCGTGGACAGACTGGGCTTTTGTTTGGGAGAACCCAAGGACGACCTCCAACTGCAAACTAGTCACGACAAATTTTTGAAATATCCAAAAGAAGCATTGTGATGAACTGAACAGATTGACATCATTATTTGTTCAAATGAAATCTTATATGTTAACTTCGGCAAAGTATTATATTACACTTGATTGTTGGTGTGCATTTCGAGAGGTGATTGACAAATTCGCTTAATGGAGGATCGGGCGATTAAGGAAAGACGTGCGAATTCATGGCATAAAAAGTGACTAATGTTAGTCCAGAAAAACGTAAGTGTCGTTGTACAAATGGACTTTTGCAAATGGATGAAACAATTATGTTCTTAGGT